ACTACTACTTAGTACTAGTAGTAGTACTTAGTAGTAATTTATTGTAAGTGTACGTTGTAGTAATACAAGTATTGCGTAGCCGTAGTGTGGAATGTAATACCAGTCTTAATGTGGCCGCTAGTGGCAATTGTCAGTCTAAACAAACTTATCATCAGTGTTGTGCTCCACTCCCACCTCCCGTAACGATCCAGGCGGGCTTGATCTTGCATGCCAGTGGCTGGTACGCATGGAATATCGCCTTCGTGCAATTATCAGTGTAAACACGCATAAATCATCAGAATGCCGTGCTTAAAATGGCTGCCTGAGAATTAGACTGGACGTCACGATTCGCAGATAGACTTGGTAGCGGACGTTTAATTCGGGCAAGTCTCTTTTCGCATAACACTAAAGTTATAGTTAGTGTAGCGTGTCATAACTCTGCAGCGCGGGCGAGTCTAAAGAAAATTCTTTGCAAATGACTTGAGAGAGCCTCGTCGCGCGCCATCTATGGGTAGCGATATACGAGAATAAGTTCAGGGCGTGGAATTAAATAAATTCGAAATGCGCTTTTCTAAGAAAAAAAGCTAACGCCCCGCCAACCAAAAAAAGTAAGCAATTACGACCATGGATTTATTCTCGCCCGTACGCTGCATTAATGAAAGTTCTGTGCAAGCTGCCACAAACTCCTCAATTGATCGATTACAGGCCCCATTTGAAAAAACCGTTTGAAAATTGTTTCTAAATACGGAAGCAGCGAGTTGTATGCAAATGGCCGCCAACAGGTGGCCGCTGTTCGCGCTTCGCGCGGGGATATCCGGCTGCAGATCGTCTAGATGAATAACTCTGTATAATCTCAAATAAAACTATTCTGATTACCACCTTGACTTGCCTTGTTTTGAAATTTATGAAACTCTTAACTCACAGTTTGTCCTGCCTTCTAACATAGAATTGTATCTCTAATTCAGCGCGGTATAAATTGCTAATTCTCACACAGCGATATCAACGTTCCAATCAGCTTTACCCGCCATGTTTAGCGAGGCAACGGAAAACCCGAAACGGAAAAAGAATCGCCTAGAAAACACTACAGAATAGTACGATGGCTCTCAGCTCATATATGAGCACACCGAAGGCAAGTGAAACGATGCTTCAGCAAATGTCCTGGCGCCATTTTGTAAAACCGTTAGATGACATTACAGGTTCTTGTTAATAGCCGGTAACGGCGTTTTTTTACGCGTCTCTCGCCGGCAATTTGTTATCCGGCTAATCATTTGAGAGAAACTCCCACTAAAGGCGGTAAAATATTTAATTCCATATTTGAAAAACGCGTTTATTTTAAATACTTCACAACCCAAGACTAAACTCTGTGCACGGGCGGTCGTCAGCCGGCGAGTTTGTTTACCCTCGTTCGACAGCACAGACAGCGGAGTTTTCATACTGTACGTTTCGTTGCCTTCCGCGGGCGACACCAGATGGCCGCCACCGGTCGACACACAAATGGCTAGAAGCCAACCTTATTATATTACTGGCACCAGTTGTGTCCGAGAACGTTGTATTGGCCGTGATCGTCGGCCCCCGGACCCGCTAGCCACGCGAGCGCTCTTGAAGCTACGGCGCTCCCTCCGAATAACCTGTTCTGCCGTGTTCGCGGCTTCGGTGTGTCGTAGAGTTAGTCAACGCATGCGAGACGAGGGCGCACATAGTACCACTCAGACACTACAACGGCGAACCCCACCCTGCCTGCCGGCTTATACGTTACGTTGAATAACGAGTGCCACACCACGGGCGTAAGCACAGAGGTTAAAAATAGAATGAATTATGAACGCAGCCGGCAAAAGGCTACAGTGACGCGGCGGCCTCTCCTCTCGGTGCAGCCATGCCCGCAGAGTTAATACTTCTCAATACCCGTTACTCTAGCCTAGGAATATTAAACTCAACCTGTTCTAATATTGACTACTAATAGTACTGTATTATTTACTCACGCCCACAAACGACGGGACAATACGACTAGTGCCTACTACCAAATTAACAGACGCGCCTGTTCTCTCACCCGTGAGGCAAGGCACACGCCAAACGCCCGTGACACAGGCACTTAGGACCGCTTTCAATAATAAAATGATGGTTAATAAATACACCTGTCAGTAGCCTACTACTAACAGTACCAGCAATTAGTCTTAATGTTTGAATTTGACCCTAATAACTTCACTTCAACCCGTTCAATACACCGCCTGCAACACATAGCCGCACGCCATTGGCCGAGGTGCACAAATACACAGTAGATAGGAGTGTGTATCTACTCCTATCTACTCCTATCTACTCCTATCTACTGTGTATTTGTGCATGCACAATGGGCGTGCGGGCTATTGTTTTTGTTGCGCGTGTATTGAACGGGTGTTGAAGTTGGAGTATTTAGTGTCAAATCAAAAACATTAAGACTATTGCTGGTACTGTGTAGTAGGGCTACTGACAAGTGTATTTATTAGCCATCATTTTATTATGTGATACGTCAAGTGCCTGTGCCCGTGACCATGATACAGTACCTCGGGGACTCGTATGGCTAAACTGTCACCATAACCACACCACGACACACACAGCTCAACAGGCCACTCTACAGGCATGCATAACACGGAGTAGACGCTGGCTACTACCTGCCGAGTCCTTCTCACTCGCGCTTACAGGACGAACTGGCCAACACTAGTCCTCCCTCAACGATTCCCGCCTAAGAACTCATACCAACGCGTGCTCTCTCGACACGTCACTGGCCTATGCTGTTTCACACGGCCAGCGCACTCACGCGGGCCGCTGTAGGGGTGCTAACCGAACATGGCTGCCCCTATGCAGGGACTGACATCTAGCATCGTTTAATTATGAGCTGGCAAAACAACACGAAAACGCCACACTAATAAACACAGACATCAGCAATCTAATTATACAGCTTACCAACACTGATCACCACACTCCGGTATCCCAGGGAGCCACCCTGCCTAGGAACCCGTTGGGTCGCGGTTGCCACACGCTACAATACATGATCAAGCAATTTGATTTGTGGTGTCGTATAGCGAATCCAATCAGAAGTGGCCGTTTCAAACAAACTTCAGCCAAAGCGCGCGCGTACAGTTTAGCAGCCGGCGAAACGAGCATGGATTCTTTGGCCAAAAGACAGACTCCCTGGAAGTCTTTTTTAAAGATAGAGGCAACGTACAGCGCAGTATAGCCACGCGATAGCAGCATAATCGTGAGATGTCTCGTAAAAATGATGGCAAAAATCAATACTGTGTACACCCAGTGTCACGATTCAGCACTCGTCGCGGTCGTCCGAGACGCAGTGATTTTTCAAGTTAAGATTTATTTAGATTTGTTTTTAGATTTTGTTTTTGATTGGCGCCGGCTCACTCGTCGGCACAAATTTTAAATTTTGATTATTTAGCTAGAATGTTAGGGCAAACTTGATTTGCATTTTCTGTTATTAAAGATTTGAAGCATGGCCAGATGTTGACTCTGACTTGATTCTGACCATTAAAATAAAGTGCGACAGGAGTCTTTGAGGACATATAGTGTTTACCTGGAACTTTAGTCTGGAGCTCTGTCCTATGGAATACTCAATACTGTAGTAAACTGTAATACTGCCTTGAATTAGTGTTAATAATGAATAGTGTAATAACCTGTAATAGTGCTGATATATTTCAGTCGCACATTATATTATAATTGTCGACTCAGATTATACAAATGCAGCTGATAATTGAATGTCTAACTTGGCAGATACTACTAAAAATAAGAGGAAATACACTTGTTACTGGACTTCATCTTAAAATTTATGATTTTTCTTTTTATACTAGATACTTACATAGCATATATTTTTCCTAATTAAACTAAATTCTAGAACGCATACCATCAAAATAGGCTATTTGGGCGTCAATTCAGAATTTTTTTCAGGTGGTTTGCATGCCCCGCGGACCCCCCTAAACAGGGCTTTTGCGCCTTCGCCGCTCACCCTACCGTTCCGTGCCGGAAAAAAACAGTTACCTGGCTATTATTGTCAAATTACACTGCTTTGTCAAAAAGTTAACAAGACCCTCGCATTAATAGTCTAATACAACTTAAAAATATGTATAATAGTGTATATTATATATATTAAGTTGCGCAGTTATATCGCTCAGATAATAATAATATTTATAGTCAGCAGTGGCGTAGTGCCTGAGCAAATTCGTAGGGAGGGGGGGGGCAGTGGCGATCAGGCAATTTCAGAGACGGGGGCGGTGAGAAACAGCTAGGTGGGGGGTCTTGAGGTCCTCTCCCAGAAAATTGTAAAAATGTAGATCGCAGCTAGCTATAGGAGATATGGTATTTGAGGCACTTTTGAGTACATGCATGTACAGCCTTTATTATGGCTACGACGTACAATATTCTCTTTTAGTATAGCTATATTGCTTATATATAAGCTTATTTTTTAATTCCGCTCCAAAATCTAAGGGGGCAGCTGCCCCCTTGGCCTTGTCCCCCTCAGGCTACGGCCCTGCATGATGGGCAGCACTGCTGCAGTGCTAGGCAGGGTTCTTCCCTAGGTTGGAGAATTTTTTCCATGGACTTTTCATGACTTCCTCCATGCCAAAATCCATAAATTCAAGGACCTTTTTGATGCATTTACCACAAACCAGCAGGCTGAGGGCCTAAGAGGCAATAAAGTGACATACCGTAAATAATGTTGGAAATTGAAAGGCAATTTATTTATCAAACAACTACTTAAAACTAATATAATTCAAAATGACAAAATGACAATGGCTTTGCTAGCTCATAATACCGGTACATACAAGTTTGATTGCACACAAAAAACACAAAATAAAATCACAATGGCTTTACTAGCTCACAATACAAGTTTGATTGCACAACAAAACACAAAATAAAATCACAATGGCTTTACTAGCTCATAATACAAGTTTGATTGCACACAAAAAAACACAAAATAATGGCTTTACTAGCTCATAATACAAGTTTGATTGCACACAAAAAACACAAAATAAAATCACAATGGCTTTACTAGCTCATAATACACAGATGACAGCACTGTCGGGAACATTTGGATTTCTCATATACATTGAAACAGAATGAATGCCACATACATGTAGCACATCAACACAGTCTTCATCATGTTTCCTAAAGAGTCAGATTGGCACAAGAGCATGTAGTCAGTTACATGTAGTATCAGAAGAAATCCATCCACTAAGGAGTTACTGCTGAAACTTAAGATTGCTTAGGTCCTATGTATCTTTAAGTTTCAGCAGTAACATATCTAGCTTGTCCACCACCTCTACCAATTCTACTTTCTTAGTAACAACAGTACGCCTTAGACTATTGCTCTGAGAGACAAGAGTGAGCTTTCCTGTTCTCTCCGCCTTCTCAGAGAGAGCATCAGCTGACTTTTGCATGCTGTCTATGTCATCATTGAGTCTCCTCCTCTTGCTCTTCACTTCCTCGATCTCTTCTTCCAGGCGTTTCTTTCCACGACTCTTCTCTACTCTCTCCTTTTTCCGTTTCTCTTCGTCCAAGTGCATTAGATACTTCTGACGTGCCCCAGCAGCAGCTACAAGGAGTTGAGGGGTTATTTGTACATTGCATACCCCACCTGCTCGATTTACATGCTCGCAAATGAGCCTCCTGGCCACAAATGTCTCCTCCTGGAGGTTGTCTGCTGCTACCTGAAATAAAAGGTGTGAATGGTTACTCTGGTGAATCTGAATCAAATTAACCTGCAAACAAAAACCCTCCTCTTCTTAGAAATAGGCTATCAGCCTCTTATCTGCTACAGCCACCACCTGAAATGAAAATGGGAAAGGTTACCATGGTTACTAGTATGATGTATTACCCAATGAATTAAACTTTCTTTAAATTCTAAAAAAACATACCTGTTTATTTACGGAAAAACCCCTTTCCACCGAGGCTTGTCCATGGGAAAGTAGAAGAACAATCTTCATTGCCTGCCAGAGTTTGCTGTACTCGGTTTTCTGGTGGAGATGCTTATAGAGGAATGTCTCTACCCTGGACTCGTCTGCTTCCGGTCTGAACTCAGCAAAGGAAGACGAATACCTTGCAACCTGAACATCAAGGAAGCTGACATACTGTGATTTCACCACATCACAGTCATCATAGGAGATCTGTTTCTTTTCTGCAAGTACCTGAAGTGAAAGAGTAATATAACACACCTGAGGTCATAGGGTTTCAGTTACTAATGTTTGATACCCCAAAAAGTTTACTGAACACTCACACTCACCTGAAGCATGTAGCTCATCCGTGCAATGCACTCATCTCTGTTATGCACCATTTCACTTGGGGCTAGACACGATGCATTGCGTACGAGGCTGTGCTTTAGGGGTAGCTTTTCCAGCATGTAGGCAACCATGAATGACATCACATTCTGAGTTTCAGTACGCAGTTGGAATACCTTCAGTTCTGAAACCTTCTTCTCATTGAGCAACAGACGCAGAGATTCTTTGCAAGCAGCACCAACATCCACCTGTAACATAGTAATGAATATTCAGTAATACTTGTAAAGTATTACCAGATCAGTCCTACTAACATTAAGTGATGAGAGGTCAGAGCACTGGATTTAACGAAAGTGTGAATAAAACAGATCAGGGGGTCATTTTCACTAATACTAAAAAAACGTATTTCACCCCCTCTACATCATTTTCAATGTGTTTTCGGCCCTTTCAATGCATAAAATACGCTAAACGCACCTTAATTATTGAGTATTACCTACCTTCTTCACATCACACCGGCTTTTCTTGGCATCAAAGTTCAGCATCTTGCGCTGAGTGGTCACGGCTTTAACATTATCTGGTTTTCCAAACCTCTGTATGAGACTCCTAAGCATGTTGAATATGTCTGCACCAAGGAAAGGTATCATGGGCTTGTCGCACTGATATTTGACAAGAATGGGTTGCAGTTCTCTGCATATGGAGATGTAAACCTGCAGCATAGGAACAGTCATAGGATCCGTGGTAGCATTTTCAACGACTGTGTAACTCTTGCAAGTTGGCTTTGTCACCCTTTTGTCTTTCTTCTGGACAGCTTTGACATATTCGATGACATCCGGCAAGATTTCCAAAGCACGCTTGGCCACCGGCAGATTCTCTACCCAACGGTGTTTACAGAACTGCAGTCCAAATTTTGAAGTACCAGTCACAGACGTATATTCACTTTGCCTAGCTGGGGCATCATGGAACAAATAGAAGAGGCTGGTGAAGAAATCCTGCAAACCTTTGAATACCTCGTTTTTTTCCATTGCATTTTTCAATGCACCATGAATTTGGTGCAACCCACATGAACCTATGTCCAGGAGACGTTTATCATAATTCTGCTCTATGTGAGATACCATTTCACGATGGAATTTCAGATTGACATTTGGCCCGTCCATGCCTATCTGCAGAAGCTTACCAAGTTGAAGAGTTTCTTCTAGTGTTGTCACGATCATCGATTATACTCGATCATCGGTTGAACAGTGGCTCGAACCAAGCGCTTTGTTATCAAAATCCATAATCGATTTCATCGGGTAAAAAAAAAAAAACTTGGAATAGTGATGAGAATCAGTACATGTATTATACACACAGTAGTAAACAGTGCAAAAGAAACAGTAAACAGGGCTAAACAAGCACATACATGCACACACGTACATGCACACGCAGGCATTCAACACCCGAGTAACCGATTGTAACCGCCGCCGAGTAACCGCTGGCCGCTTGCGATCGATAAATACGCTGCCGGTTCCGCGCGGTGTGTGCGGTCTCACGGCAGCGAATTTCGCTCGCGATCCCATATGCAGGGTTCGACACCAAGGGAAAACATCGAATCTTTATTACGGTGTTCGTGCTTAAAGTTAAAACAATACCTGTCACTCAGTCAGTGTCTAGCCCATTAACCCAGCGTGCACCTCTCTCTCTCTCTCTCTCTCTCTCTCTCTCTCTCTCTCTCTCTTTCTCTCTCTCTCACTCACACACGCACATCACACACACACACACACACACACACACACACACACGGCAATCAGCAGCGCTCGTCGCTCCGCTACTCGTAGATTATATTTCAATTATAAAAGGGCTTAGAAACGAAATGAATAAACGTCAGTGTTATCGTATGCAAGTCATGTTGGCACAACAAACCAAAAAACAATTAAACATATATATACATCAACACACAGTGACAGACACTCCTCTGTTTTGTGTGTGTGTGTGTGTGTGTGTGTGTGTGTGTGTGTGTGTGTGTGTACGCGCGTGCGCGCGCGTGTGCGTGCGTGCGTCAGTGCGCACGCGTGTGTGTGTGTGTGTGTGTGTGTGTGTGTGTGTGTGTGTGTGTGTGTGAGCGTATTTATGTGGGTTTGTAAGCTTGATATACTAATGACGTGCACTAGATATGTCCCCGATTCTTTGATGAAGTACTATACTCACATATTGTGAGTCCGCATTCTGATTTCTGATACCTGGAGTGTCCCACTATACCGGTAAAATATCTAACGTCGTCATTCAGATGTCATAAATCTAAGTTCTCATCGGTAGGCGCTCACACACGCGTGTGCGTGTCTGTGTCTGTGTGTGCGTGTGCGTGTGCGTGTGCGCGTGTCTGTGTGTGTGTGTGCGTGTGCGTGTGCGTGTTTGTCACAAATTAAGTAAAGTATTTTACTATAATTTATGAAAGGTCTATCGGACCTTCGGTCTATAGGGATAAGTAACGGATAACCCCGTGAACTCGGCACACGCGCGATTTAAGGCGCGGGAAACAGCATCTATGAATTCATACGATGACATGACATCATGACACTCTTATCTAAATAAAGTTTTTCTTAACAATAGTCTGGGTCTGGGCTAGTGGTTTTTCTCAGTTACTAGCCCGATGGTCTAGTGAAATAAAAAGTCCATGTTGAACCCTGCCATACGGCCGGCTGATCACTCTTTCCACCCGGTTTTTCATCGCTTGCATACAATATTACAAATACACCAGCGCGCCCAACAATGAACAATCGCGTTCGAACGCGATTGTTTTTATCAGCCAATCAAGTGTAGAAACGAAAGCCAGGAAACCCGTTGGACACCGGACAGTGTGTGCAGCTGTACGCGGAATTCGTACGGCGTTAATCGTGAGCGAAAATATACGCGTACAGAATCGCTGCTGTGCAGTGTTCGAGGCTACGTCTGTCAACGAAATGGCGACTGCCGTTGATTTGCCAGATGATCGTCTGTATGAGTTTCCTGGCAAAAAGACACGTTCCCGCGTCTGGCTGTACTTCCGTTTTTACAAACTAAAAGCTGGCCCACCCGTGAAAGAAAACTTGGACATGACTAGGACGATATGTCGACTTTGCCGCAAGGAATATGCATTCAAAGGTGAGACATTGATCGGTGGCCTGTTGCCGAGTACCCACTTCTTCGTCATTACCAGTTGTCGATAGTTGCTTCAAGTGTTTTCAAATCAGCTAAAATAATTGGCGCACTTAATAAATTGCTTTTGTTGCTGTCAGGACATTGTTTGTAGATTGTTATAAACTGTGTTATTGTATGATAAATTTATCAGTCTAAAATTGGGTCATTGTTTATTTCAGGTAACACCACCAACCTGCAGTTTCATCTCGATCGCGAGCATAGAGATTTGGGTGACAGCAGTAATGTTACTGGGAAAAATGGCAAACCGACGTCTCAACAAACTATTCAAGAGACTATTACTAGGAAACAATCGGACACATTGCCTGTAGCAAAGCAGAATGAGGTAGACAATGCACTGATGAAGTTGATGGTCGGCAAAGTACTTCCGTTAAGCTTAGTTGACAGTGAGCAATTCAAGACATTTGTTAGCCTGCTAGATCCACGTTACGTTGTTCCGAGCCGGAACACACTGGCCAGTCGTCTGCAACGTAAGCATGATGACATGAAGAAAAACCTCAAACAATATCTGAAAAATGCCGTGATATATCAATTACACACGATGGCTGGACCAGCATGAACACTGAAAGTTTTCAGACAACGACAGGGCATTTCATAAGCAAGGAGTGGGAGCTGAAAAGTGTTGTTGTACAGACACAGAAAACAGAAGGATCTCACACAGGCGAGATGATTGCTAGTCACCTAGAGGATATGAGGAAAAGATGGATGCCACATGTGATCCCCACCGCTGTGACGGACAATGCAGCCAATGAAAGGAAAGCTTTTGACATTTTGCAGTGGGTACGGTTTGGATGTTATGGCCACAGGATCAATCTGACTGTGAAAAAGGCTTTGGAGGTGAATGAAGTGGCACGCATTGTGGCCAAAGGGAGAAAACTGGTGACATTTTTCCACCAGTCCAGTAGCATCTCGGACAACTTCAAAGCAAAGCAATTCCTTGTTCTCCAGGAGGGAGCCATCCACCACAAGTTGATCCAGGATGTGCCCACTAGGTGGAATAGCACCTACCTGATGCTGAACAGACTACTAGAGCAGATACCAGCCATCATGGCTACTGCAACAGATGCCACAATCAGCAAGACAGCAGCAACGACACTGCGGAACTGCATGTTCTCATTTGATGAGCAAGCCATCATTGAGAGGTGCGTGGGGATCCTCGAACCCTTCTACAAGGCCACCACCATCCTGTGTGCTGATCACAGACAGTCTTAGCTAGACGTCGGACTCCAACTATCCAATAACTACCACGTAGAGTTGACACTAATGTTGATACACCAGCATGTTTTAGAAATACATGCTGAAAGCGGACTAGCAATTTAGAAACATGACACTGAGGGAGTATGACTGGATGACGGCTCTCATAGTCTAGGTTAGAAAACTGGAGACGCCCTTTAACCCTCAGGAGTCCATCACTATCCAAGAAAGGGTCGAGTTTCCGAATGGGCGAACCCTTGGGTATGGGTTTACCTGTCCTAAGACGTAACAGTTCCTCAGAATAGGCAGCTGACTGAACACAAGAAAACAGCTTCCTCTCAGCAAAAGCTAATTCATCAGACGAGAAAGCACCTAACGACCTCACAGACATAGGAAGAGTATTCTTGATAAACCTTAATACCCAAGCAATGACATGGACACTCTTAGTGAAACTACTCCATCGACTAAATTCAAAAACCTCCGACATGGGGTCCACAGAAAGACAATTAACTGACTCAGCCTGTTCCTCTGAACATTCAATAATGAGAGGTTGGTCGACATAGTCAGGAGGGAAGGAACTAGACGCATCATACAACCACCTAGGTCCTTTCAACCAGAGATCAGATGAAATCAGTTGCTCAGCAAATATCCCTCGTGTTAGGAGATCGGCAGGGTTCTCTTTCCCTGGGCAATGAAACCAGTACTGAGGAGATGTAAGCTGATGTATCTCCGATACCCTATTAGCGACGAATGTCTTCCATTTATAGGGATCACCTTTGATCCAAGCCAAAGTGACACGAGCGTCTGTCCAACACCGATATGTCACGCTATCAGATAGACGGAGAGCAGACTTTACAAACACTACTAACCGGGCACACAGCAAAGCTGCAAGGAGCTCTAGCCGAGGAAGAGAGACCCTTTTTAAGGGTGCGACCTTGGCCTTAGCAACCACTAGGGAGGTCTGATAAATTCCCTTGACCGAGGGGATCCTCAAATACACACAGGCTCCATATCCAATTTCTGATGCATCACCAAATGCATGTACCTCTAAATTAGTCAAAGAAGACCAAGGGAGACAGGAAGTGTAACAACGGGGTATCTCCCATTGTTGGCCATATATCTGAGGTTGTTGGCAGAATGTGTTAGTTGTAATGCCGCATATGTATTGTGTTGCTATGGAGGGTACTGGTCGAATACGTGTCGAAGAACCAAATAATGTTATTAACTGTTATTTATATACTGTGCCTACGTAGACAGCCTGGTGGTTTTGTCTCGTTTTTGCAATGGCTGGTGGTGTGCGACGTGATTATCATTCATGTGCGCGGTCTTCAAACGCTAAAGTTCAGAGTGGTGGTAAGAAAGGGTGTAGTAGAAGCTACACCTTGTTTTTGACACCGGGTCGATAGTCTATGTTATTCCATTAAATTAGTTAGGAGATGAACCTAGTGGGTGTCCGTCTGAATCGCTATTCGTTGACTCTGCTTGGTGGTGGAAGTCACCTAAGGGATAGCACAGTGTTTGAGGGTATCTCATATGCAGGTGGGGGCTATCGTTTGCTATGTGCGGTGGAATACCCGACTGTATGTAGTCTTGACCCGCTTCTAGCGTACGCGGTGAGTACTTAGTATTTTGCTGGTTTACGTATGGCAGATGCACTATTGTTGCGACGTCAGGTACTGTGGGATATATTGGTGGGTTATGATGGCCTACTGGAAGTTCGTTGTCCTCATATATTTATTCAAGTGGGGCGGTTAGTGGCACAGCGGTCAGTCGATGTTTGTGATGGTGGGCTGTCTGGTACGTTGGACAACTACCCCTGTTATGACCTCTGTTAGTCGTGGGCCGTCAGCTATTGTGTATTTGAAGTTTCCTGACTCGGTGTACGGGAATTTCGGTGGTTCTCTGATCGATTGCGATTTGGTCCTGATAACCCAAACTCTGTTGTGTTGATCCTGTCTTTCAGTCTTTACAGAGTCCTGTCCTGCTAAGGTAGTACACGGTTGCGCTTCGCGTGAGATCTATGTGCGCAGCCGATAGTTGATAACAAGAAGCTTGCTAAGAAGAGGTTAGAAGTTAGGCCGTGTTTGGACAAGACCAACACTCTGAAGATTAAGTATGATAGTGTCTTCAGGAGTATGAGTCTTAGGATTATGTAGGGAGGTCCTCCCAGTGAGCCGAGTCCTACGACGTTCTTTTACGCTCAGCCGTCCTGTTGTTCGCGCACGGCAGTACCTCGAACTAAGTTGCGTCCGTTTTTGATGCTTCGGCCTCCGTACAAGGTAGTTATTATGATTGGTTGGAGCCGCGGCCGTCGCCCTTATACCCAACTCTTTGTCCTGTGCCGCGCGGCGCCGGCCGCCCGCGGGGATTTTGATTCGTTTCAGGAGGTTGGAGTTGGCATTCGCGCGCTCATAAGCGGTTTTGAGTTAGTGTTCAGCGAAGTTCACGCTGTGCGCCGCCCTTGTTCTTGGAGAGTCAGGAGTAGCGAGTTCGGGTTTATGAGCGTGGTTGGGTTCGAGGTGCCAGTGTTGGCAACGAGAGTTCGTATTTATGGCTTACGCCAGTTCAGGTATTTAGGTAGTTATCCTCTTCTATCTGTGTTCACTGAACTTAAGACAGTATACGTTAATGTGGGTTGTCGGGTACGATTGTGAACGGAGGCGTCTATATGATGTCTGAGCTAAGGGACTTGTTGTCTCAGGCTGCGTGCCTCGTGTCTAAAAGGGGTTCTGATAGTAATTCATTGACGGATATTTGGCCATGAGTTAGGGTAATCAAGATTCTGCGCGTATTTTCCGCGAAGACTATTAGGCGGTATGGCGATGGATGTCAGTCGAGGATTGTTTCACCTTTGAGGGATTGGTCTTGGGGCTGACAGTTTATTTGAGCCAGAGCGACGGTGATCTGAGTCTGCTTTGCTCGCTGTGTCGCGACCCTTTAGGCCTTTGTTCCTTTCTATCTTGCTAAAATGCTTTTTCAGGAGATGTTGGAGGGAGGATTGATTTGGTGACGGCGCTGAGGATCTGGCGACCCGTTCTTTAAATGGGTTCGAGGTATACGGTTACTCAAACNTACGTAGCCTGTAAAATGTTGGAGGAGCGGTTCGGACGCCGTGATCGAATTATCTTTGCTCATATACAGGCTTTACTTAATGTGTCGGTGCCTAGCAGCAAAATTGTGCAAGGAGCAAAGTATATAAGCCTGCTGTGGAAAATGCAAGATGAACTCCTTACTCATATAAGAAGTCTGGAGGCTATGGAAGTCTCTGGAGATCAATATGGAGTTTTCTTAACGCCTGTGATACTGTCGCGACTACCACACGAGATCCGCCTTGAGTGGTCACGAGATGGATGCGGTCATGAGAGTGACCTAGACTGGCTTCTCAAATTTTTACAAAAGGAGATTGAGAGACGTGAGCGCTCAGAGAGTTTCAAGGAAGTCACCCCTACGGCGAGATCCGCCTTGAGTGGTCACGAGATGGATGTGGTAGTCGCGACAGTATCACAGGCGTTAAGAAAACTCCATATTGATCTCCAGAGACTTCCATAGCCTCCAGACTTCTTATATGAGTAAGGAGTTCATCTTGCATTTTCCACAGCAGGCTTATATACTTTGCTCCTTGCACAATTTTGCTGCTAGGCACCGACACATTAAGTAAAGCCTGTATATGAGCAAAGATAATTCGATCACGGCGTCCGAACCGCTCCTCCAACATTTTACAGGCTACGTCATAATTGGAAGCAGTCAAGGCAAGCCCCTGAATAACCGACTTAGCTTCACCCTCTAAGATGGACTGCAAGTAGGTGAACTTACTGATGGCAGGCAACTCCGACTTATCCACCAGAGCACTAAAGCGATCCCAGAAGGACTGCCACTCCGTCACCTCTCCTCGGAATTTTGGCAACTCCAGACTTGGCAGCCTTACAGCAGAACTGGTTACACTGCTAGCACTATTCGGCTCAGGTGGTACACGCGTTGTCAAGGCAGCAAGACGTTTTGCAGCCTCCACTCGGTTGACACAAACATCTTCACGAAATTTAAATGCAATGTCCAAATCATTGTCTAACTTGTCAGAGTCTATTTCAAGTTCAACAGCTGATTGGGCATTATCAACAGCTGACAGACGTCGGTCAAATTCGTCAACTACGTGTTCTAAGTCTAGACGAGTCAGTTCTTTCTTCTCAAGGACAGCCTTCAACGCTGTTGCAGCGCGAGTCGCCCAGCCACGTGTCGCAGCTCTGGCCTTTACCAACCTAACTAGGTCAGTCATTTTACCACTATCAAACAGGCAGGACGTTATA